CCAGTTTTCTGATCAAACTTGTGGGCCAGGACAGTGGTGACCTGCATCTTTAGCCGAATACAACAGATTGAATAATCCAGGGGAGGACCAAGAGTCTGGGGCTCAGAGAGCTATTTCCACATTTCTAAGCATAAAAGGCTCTTTTTAAGAACACAGAACCATGTAGGGGAGGCACTGCATGGCAAGAAATGGAGGCCAGACTTAGATTAAGAACAAAACAAGAGGCTGGGCACAGTGGCTCACGCCTATAATCCTAGCTCTCTGGGAGGCTGAGGCAAGTGCATTGCTTGAGCTAAGGAGATGGAGACCAGCCTAAGGAAGAGTGAGATTCTGATGCAGGTCACCACTGTCCTGGCCCACAAGTTTGACCAGAATTTTTTTCTAAAAAAAAAATAGCCAGGCTTTGTAGCAGGCACCTGTAGTACCAAATACCTGGGAAGCTGAGGCAAGAGAATCACTTGAACCCAAGAGTTTGAGGTTGCTGTGAGCTACGATGCCATGGCACTGTACCCAGGGTGACAAAGTGAGAATCTGTCTCCAAAAAAAAAAGAAGAAAACAAGATAATGGGGTTTGTCTTTAAGTGGAGCTTGGTCTCAAAACAAGACTACCCTGTTGATAGTTTCTGCTACATCTCCTGAGGTTGATAATCATTAAGCTTTCCCAAGCAGTGAAGAGTAAAGCCTTCACTTCTATCATTTGTTCATTTCAACAAAGAGTCACCAAGAGCTTTTTGTGTACCAGGCACAGTGCTATGTAGTGAAAGAGGCAGATGTGGCTCCTGGACCCAGGCTAGGGATAGCCGAGTGATACCTATTAGGCCTAGACCCTCCTGTTTGTAGCCTCTTCCTCCAGGCAGCCTGTGCACTAAAAAGAGAAATTAAATAATTACTGTCCAGAGTGGCAAGTGAAAGGCCACTCCTAGAAAGCTGGGATAGCCTGGGAGAAGTTCTGGCTAGATCATGTGAGCAATGGAAAGCAATTTTAAGTAAGAGAGTAACAGCATTTTAAAAATTGCTTGTGGTAGCAATGAAGCCACTTTCACTCATGGTCAGTTACCCATGTTTGGCTGTTACTCTTAGCTAATTCCTAGCCCTGCTCAGCTCGTATCATTTCCCCAAGGAACTAGATAAGGGGCAGAGCCCTGATCATCTTCACAGCACAAGTCCTAAGAGCTGACTTTTATATCAACTGTTAATTCTGTCTACCCTGCAAGGAGGATCTCAGGGCTGAGATTTTCTGGCCTCCACTGTTTCCCCAATGGCTACAGCAGTAGCAAGCAGTGTAAAAGTTAACACTGTGTTGAAGAGTAACACTTCCTCCAGTGTTGAAGGAACATTGGAATCCCTGAGACAGCTTAGTACTTGGCGTGAAATAGTCGCTTCTCTATAAATAGTTCACCTTATGAAGTAGAGCAGGGTGAAATAACTTACAAGAGTGGACTACTGCCCATGTGGTATGCCAGGAAAGGCTAATGGGGTGAAAGGACTTGGACTACAGCTTGAGGAATTTCAGAGATCCCTATGATAATTCTGGGATCCTCTTCCCCTGGGTCCTGCTTTTTTCTCTGTAGGCTCTGATGCTGGTCTCTGTTAGAAGGAGGCTGCTCACAGCTCTGCTACAAGTTCAGAAGTGGCCCTTTCAATCTTCCAGAGACATGAGACTGGTGCAGTTCCAGGCACCCCACCTGGTGGGCCCTCATCTGGGCCTGGAGTTGGGGAATAGTGAAGGAGTCATCAACCTCAATGCCTTTGACCCCACACTCCCCAAGACGATGACACAGTTCTTGGAGCAGGGAGAGACCACCCTTTCAGTGGCAAGAAGGTAAATCAGCAAGCAGCACAATCCTGCAGTAGCTGCCTTGGGCCCCCCTCCCTTCTCCCATTCCTGTCCCTGCCCTGGGAAATAGCACCAGCAGGTAGTTCTTTTGTAAGGGAGCAAGGTAACCCCTCTTTCCTTTATCTGTTCTATTAGTGAGCCTTAGAAATCTTATATGCCAACATCTTCAATTTACAAGGGGAAAAACTAAGTCCTGGGGAGGGTGATTATCCCAAGGCCACACATTTGATTCTGGAGCCAGGACTCTACTTCCTCTTACTGCCTTCCCTGGGATTAAGTTCCTGCCTGCCTGAGTCTGGGACTAGGGGTCCTAAAAGGCATCTTGGGAACCTAAGGGAAGGATTTAGACTCCCAGCTCCTCAGAGGAGAAAGGACTACAAAGAGGTTTTCCCTAACATTTGGTTCCTGGGTTTTGGCTAAATTAGGTCGGGGTGTCCCTGAAGCTGGAAGCCTTGTGGAGTCTAGTCTAAGGAGATGATGAACAATAATTAAGACCACTTTAAAATATCACTTTCACCTATTAAATTGGCACAAATACAAATATTTCACAACTCAAGTTTCATTCACAGTATGTATGTCCTCATACTGGCATATTCCTCAAAGACTGGGAACTTCCATGTCTCATTAGCAAATTAGGTATATTTCTATAGTGCAAAACTGTGCAGCCATAAGAAAAAAGAGGAAGCTGTCCATATATTGTTATACATTGTTATGCAGAGATCTCTGAAATAGGTGTAGATAGCATGCAATCATTTACATACAAAGGGTGTGAGGAGAAGAGTATCCACAGAATAGCTGTGTAGAGCTAGGGGGAACAGGGTGACCAGAACGGGTGAAAGAGAACTTTCCATTTATTCCCATTTGTATCTTCTGAATTCTCTTACATGGACATGAATTACCTAAGGCAGAAAGGAAATCAACACTGGTCTGATAGCAAAGGACAATAGCTGGGCTTGTTTTCACCCTGACTCTGGTGGGTGATGGATCTAGAAAATATAAAAAAGCAAATCTTGTAGCTGCTACAGGATCTCCCCAGCCTGCCACAGGATTGCCAACCTGCTCCCAGCTAGCCCCTCTCGCCTGCTCTGGTCTCTATAGAGCCCTGGCTGCCCAGTTGCCAGTACTACCACGGTCAGAGGTGACCCTCCTGGCCCCAGTCACACGGCCAGACAAGGTGGTGTGTGTGGGCATGAATTATGTGGACCATTGCAAAGAACAGAATGTGCCTGTGCCCAAGGAGCCTATCATCTTCAGCAAGTTCGCCAGCTCCATCGTGGGGCCCTACGATGAGATCATCCTCCCACCCGAGAGCCAGGTTGGTGCCACCCTCACTGTCCTCTTGAGTCACTGGGGCCCATCACAAGGGTGCTCTGAGCTCTCCAGTCAGCCTACAGGAGCCACCTCTTGCTTAATAGTGCATTAAATGAACTGCAGGGGATTGATTATACATATAGTAGTAACACAGTCCTTGGAGACAAAAAATAATAATTTCTATCTTTTCCTGATTACAAAAGTAATATATTTTCATTGTAGAAAATTAATAAAATACAGATAAACATAAAAAAATTAAAAGTCACCTTTATTTCCACTTCCCAGGGCTTATAATATTAACATTTTGCTATATCTTCTCGGTATTTTTCTCTTCCTGTATGTATTTGTAATGTGTATATATGTATTACTTACCTTTTACTTAAGACTCTATTATTTTTTCATTCCATTAAATATTCTAGGGTTACAGTGTAGTTTTCTATTGTACCAGTGGCCACTGTTTATTCACTAGTCCTTTATTTCTGGATACTTGTTTCCAGTTTTTGGCTTCTATAAGTAAATATTGAATTGAACAACATCCTTATGTAGAAAAAATCTTTGCACATCCGTTAATACATGATTATTTCCTTTGAATAAATTCTTAGAATTTGAATGATGTATTATTTTAAAGTATAGGCAGTGTTCTCAAAACTTTTGAAAAATTCTGCCAAATTGACCTAAAAAAAAAATTGTGAAAGAAATTTATACCTCCACCAGCAGGGTATGTACCCTTACTGACACTGGTTAGTTTTTCTCTCAGTTTTTTATTTCAGAAATGCCATGTAACTATAGGAAAATTGAAAAAAATAGTACAATGAACACTCACATACTCTTAACTGATTTCACTATTAGCATTGTGCTTTCTCTCCTTCTCCCCCTACCCTTCTCTTTTCTTCCTCTCTGTCTCTCTTTTAAGTAGACAGGATCTCACTCTGTTGCACAGGCTGAACTCCTGGCCTCAGCAGCACTCCTGCCTCAGCCTCCCAAAGTGTTAGGATTATAAACATGAGCCACAGCCCCCAGCTTTCCCTCACCCTCCACATGTGCACGTATACTTTTAGGGGGCAGGTGAGGAGAGAACCTTTGAAAGTAAGTCAATTCACTCATAAAACTTAAATATGCATCAGCTAAGAATAAGGACAATGGCCTGCATGACAATAATACCATTACCACAACTAAGAAAATTAACATGAATAATATCTAATGTATAGTCCAATTAACCCAATTCCCAATCAGGAATACTTCCAATTACCCCTAAGATGACTTTTTTAATTTGGTAGCTTTTTAAAAAAATTATTTGTTGATCTAGGATCAATCAAAGCCACATATATTTAGTTATGGAGTTCCACAGACTTTTTCTTAAAGAGCCAGTTAGTAAATATTAGGCAAAAACAGGTTTGCAAATCCCTGATCTCAAACAATTCCCCTGCCTTTTTCTTTTCTTTGTTTTTTAATTTTTTCTAGTTTATTTTTTCCTTTTATTAAGTCATATACACATAGATCATGAATACATTTGTGCATTTGAGCCCTGCCTTTTTCTTAAAGAATACAGTCAAGTTGTCCATGGCATGTCCTATACTATGGATTTGTCTGGTTGTTTCTTCCTGATTAGATTCAACTTAAGCATTTTTGTCAAGAGATCTACCCGGGAGATGTACACTTCCCATTGCATCCCACTGAGCAGCTTATGTCAGGGTTTGACTACCTGGTTTATTTGATGTTCACTAAATGTTTCCATTGTGAAGATGTATTTCCATTTGTTGTTATTAATAACCAATCTATGGGTAGTAGTTTGAGACCATATGATCATCTTATTGCCCTACGGCTCCTCATCCAGGGTCCTCTGGTCCTCCTTACCTGAATCCCATTATTTCACTGGGAATTGGAGAGAGATAACTTTTCTATAATGTCTTCTATTTTTATTAGCTGGCATGCTTCTATGAAGAGATGCCTCCCTCCCATTTTTACTATTAGTAAAATAGTACTATTACTATTTGCCTTTAGTATTACTTTGAATTCTTAGATTTGTTTTTATTCTGTTGGTTGTAATCCATCTCTTGCCTTCTTTTTGCTACTCAGATGACCTCAATTTGGTCATCTTCAAGTTGGTTCCCATCCCCATCCCTTTGATCACTTCCTTGCTTTCTGGACAAGATATTCTAGGTTCATCTTGCACTCTGTGTCTTGTACCTGGAATGAGCCCTTTCCTCAGGGAACCCAGTTCTTTGTGTGGGGAATGCTATTAAAGACCAACATCTAGATGCTAGGTGTACTTACACTAACTCTGGTTAGGAGCAGTAAATGTGAAAGGCCAAATTGTATCTATTTTGCAGTTGCATTTTGCTGATTATAGGAGAAGCTGAGCATTCTTTCATGTTTTTGTGGCCATGTGTATTTCTTCTTTTTTGTGTGAATTGTTTATTCAAGCCCTTTGCTCATGTTTATTTTGGGATGTTGATCTTTTCCTTGTCACTAAAGTGAGTTAATACAGTACACTGAGGCACTTAGAATAGTACCTGGCACATTATAAGGCCACATATTGCTAGCTGTTATTTCTCAGTATTCATCTTTTGTGGCAAGTATCCAGAGTGACTTATTTTTATTTATTTATTTTTGAGACAGAGTCTCACTGTGTCACCCTTGGTAGAGTGATGTTGGCGTTGGCATCACAGCTCACAGCAACCTCAAACTCTTGGGCTTAAGCGATTCTCTTGCCTCAGCCTCCCAAGTAGCTGGGACTACAGGCGCCTGCCACACACCTGGCTATTTTTCTGTTGCAGTTGTTTAGCTGACCTGGGCCAGATTCAAACCCGGCACCCTCCGTGTATGTGGCTGGTGCTGTAACCACTATGCTATGGGAACCAAGCCTCTAGAGTGACTTTTAAACTCAATCCCCTAGACAGGTGTTTCTTTTCTGCAGTCACAGTGTGGGAACTGTGCCTGCATCCAGTGATTTTGCCTCCCACTGCCTAAAATCTACACGTCTACAAGTTGTGCCTCCCACCATTTGCTTTCTCTTGGTTTGTGGTGATTGCACATGTGGGCTAGCAGCTGAGCCCTGCTATATGAGGCCCAGGCCCTGAGCTACAGTGTGCAGCCTCTCAGCACAGGAATGGGCCCCAGAGCCACTGCAGCTCACTGCTCTTCTCCTACCCTACAGGAAGTGGACTGGGAGGTGGAGCTAGCTGTGGTCATTGGGAAGAAGGGCAAGCACATCAAGGTAAGGTGGGAGGGGTGGGTTCCCAGGCCTGAGTGGAACAGAGGCTTCAGCTCCTACTTCTCCTAGTGCCGACCTTGGCTCCAGCACAGGGCTATCAGTTGTCCTGGCACTGGGAAGTGGTCAGCCTACCTGCTCCCTGATGCTGCCTTGCCCCTCACCCACCACCTTTGGCTATCTCTGGCTACTAATGTGGCATAAAGGCTTTGAGATCCTTTGTCATAGGGGTCGATATCACCTGTGATCTAATTTCCTACATGGCCAAATCCCCTGCCCTTATAGGCCACAGATGCCATGACTCATGTGGCTGGCTTCACTGTGGCTCATGATGTGAGTGCTCGTGACTGGCAAATGAGACGCAATGGGAAGCAGTGGCTGCTGGGAAAAACCTTCGACACCTTCTGCCCCCTGGGCCCTGCCTTGGTGACCAAGGACAGTGTAGCAGGTAGGTCCCTGGTCTTTGCCACCCACACCTGCCCTTACATGGGTAAGCAGGCCCCCAGCAGTGCAGGTGCAGGTATACAAGGAGCCCACCTGCCCTGGCCGCCCTTTTACTGCTGACTCCATAGCAGGCAAGTCTCTTGGCCTCAGGCATGGGCTCTCCTGCAGGCTTCCTCTCCACACCCCCTACAGGGAGCACAATGGCAGAGAATGTGAAACTGCATTCATGAAGTGACTCAGAACACCAATGAACTTATGGGTGGGTCAGGCTTCTTCTAGCTGCCACCATATGGAACAGTCTTTAAGTTGGAGGGAGGCAAATCTGGCCCTGAGCTTCGTGGAGAATGGCTGTCACAGGCCTGGGTATTTTCCATAATAAAGGAGATGAGAGAGCAATGGGACTTCACCCAGCCACTATGTAAACAAAAGCTCCAACTACAAGCAGCAAACACAGAACCAGGAGGAAAGTGGCTAAGAGCAGAGCACAGCCACCCATAGCACTGGGAAGATGTCCACATGAGTGAGCCATACCAAGGGCCCCAGTGCCTCGCAGCAGAGTCCTCAGTAAAGTTAAATTGTGTTCCAGCTGCTCTACATAAATGTGTGGAACACAAAGACTGCCACTGGGAAAGTTAAACATGCTAGTTAGCTGGAACACTCTATGGACACTGCTTGTACTGTCAGCCTCTGCTATAGACATCTGGATTTTTTTGTTTTTGTTCAAGGCAAAAGCCCTAGCCATTTATCTTTCCCCCTTTAGAGCCTGGGACATCTCAACTCATCCAAGTGACTGCTACCTGGTACTCTGCTGGTGCTGGGGATGCAGGAAGGCAAATATTTCTACAGAAAGTTCCAGGGTAGAGCGTGGAGTCACAATGAGCACAAAGCCCTTTTATCTGGCAAATCATAAAGCCTCTTACAGTTTTCTTTTAGTAAATATGGGGAGGAGTGTGAGAGGAAGAAAAGGGGTAACCTCAAGGTGTTTTTTATTTCAGATCCACACAACTTAAAGATTTGCTGCCGAGTGAATGGAGAGGTGGTCCAGAGCAGCAACACCAACCAGATGGTGTTTAAGACGGAAGAACTGATAGCCTGGGTCTCCCAGTAAGTGGGATGGAGCTGCCCTCGCTGGCCCTGCCTCACCCTCCCACACTCCTGGAGGATGAGCTGAGCCTTGCCACTCCTGGTTGTGGCCCCTGGTCTTACCAGGTCCTTTTGCTTTGCCCTAGGTTTGTCACTTTATACCCAGGGGACGTAATCCTGACTGGGACTCCCCCAGGTGTTGGTGTATTCAGGAAACCCCCCGTCTTTCTCAAGGTAGGTTAGCCAAAAGAAATGGGTGCAAGGACCCCTAAGGCCTTGCAGTCTTGAGAAATTTAGGCCTGTGTATGTGTATCAGGCTAAAGGGCTGAAACCCTCATGACCTGCTCCTTTGCAGAAGGGAGATGAAGTCCAGTGTGAGATCGAAGAACTAGGTGTCATTGTCAACAAGGTGGTGTGATGGCTCCTGCACAGGCCCTGGACTTAGGACAAGAAGAGGGCATCTATTCCCACTCAGCCCACTCTATCCCAGCACAGGGAAAGGCTTGATGCCAAACGTGGGCAAGTGCTAGCCCCTCAAGTCTCTTCTAGGCAGAAAGGAAAAAAAGTTCTCCTCAATAAATTTGTCAAGCCAGAGCAGTAGCTTGACTTCTGTTATTGTTTGTTGTCTTTTAGGGTTGGCTTCAGGGATGAGATGGGTCACTTTCTGGGGCTGGAGAAGGAGAGAATACACACACACACACCAAAAAGATACTGATGGACTTGAAAAAGATGACTCATCCAGTCCCCTTGTTTATCATACAATGAAGAAAGCAAGAGACAGCAAGGGAAAGTCAATTCTCAAAGACTTTATAGTCCAGCTAAGGGTCTGTAGTCTCTTCTGGCTGTAGGACACAGCCACATTCTGGGGCTAAGGAGTCTCAGCATAGATTCCACTTTACAGTTCTAGCTACAGATGAACTGCCGGATGAACTGTTCCAGCTTGTCCTGATTGTCCCGGCTAGCAAAAGTAGGAGACAGGTGGAGCCTGGGGCCTGCAGGGCTGGGTGTTTGTTGCAGAACCTAGGCCATGGAGATAAGCTATGAGTGCCCTCAGCTCAAGGATTGTGCTCACAGTCCAAGGGGTCAAGCTTTTCCCCTGGAAACCTGCCTTGAGACCTCTGCCCTTAGGTCTCAGTATGAGTGCAAATGCAGCCTCATCTCAAACCACCCCTGATATCCCATAGCTAAGAGAAAACAAGCCAGTGATTTGGAAGACTAAAAGGGGCAAGAGAAGTATTCAGCCTTCTCCAACCCATTGTCACACCTGGGAGATACCAGGCAAGTCCTAGGGTCTTAGTGAGGCATCATCAGGGCCAGTCCTATGGGTGGTAGGGACTCAGCTGGGTTCCCTGGGTAGCGCTATCAGGAGGTGGGAATGGGAAAAGGAGGATGGTGACACTGGCTTTTCTCACCCCTAGGTCTCTGAAGGTCCAGATAGCACTGATGGCAAGATTTGGGTCCACACACTCTAGAGGGGAGAGAGAAGTCAAGGTTCTAGGGAGCAAGGGCAAGGAGCCACTGAGTACAGGCTTCTCTCTTCCTCTTGTTTGGAGAAGGAACCCGGGGATAGGACTCAAAACTGAAGTGAAGATCCTCCACTCTGCAGCCTTCCTTCCAGGAGTTGGGCTATAACTGACCAGCAGGGGGCAGCAACCACCAGAAAAACCCACCCATCTCCAGGAGCCTGGCTTGGCTGCTCAATACTCACCAAAGATACCTTCTTCCTGGGCAGTAGCCTGCAAGAACTGGAACAGCTGCTCTGTGTAGCCTGACTCTGCAGGGGAGACCAGACCTAGACCCAGGGCTCTGCTCAGGCAGAGCCTGACCTGAGGACTGCAAGGGAAGGGAGGGCCTCACCAGTATCTGGCAGCTGGCCCTGGTGGAGGAAGGAGGCAGCCTGTGCAAAGGCCTTGAGCAGTGGGCTGAGCAGGCGGCAGAGGAAGAGGAAGAAGTCCGGGCAGCGTGACTGCTGGCTGAGCTGAAGGGGACATGCCAGGGTGAGGCCAGCTCCCCAACGACCTCCCTACTGCCTCCCTCTTGGGGTAGCTTCTCCCAACACACCCTGAAGTACCGGCCCTCAGCCTCCTCGAAGTCATCACTGTCACTATCAGTAAAGTCCCCACTTGGTTTCCACAGCAGCTTTGCACTCAAACGCTGTCGCCCTGTGTCACAGGCTGGCCGGGAGCCTGGGGTCTGGGAGTTGGTAGAGCCACTTGTCCCTGACAGGCTGGCCAGGAATCAACCCTCACCCCCAGACCAGGTACATGCAGGCAAAACCAGTAAGAGCAGACCTCCTAGGTCACACAAGAGAATGCCCAGATCCATGCCACAACATAGCACCTGCTGGGCCAACTCTCAGGGTGAGAGCTGAGCACCCACACTCAAGGACAAGAAATGTGGGGGCAGGAATGATGAGAGCAGAGAACCTTATAGGTACAGATAGTCAATCCTGTCTGGGGGTAGGGGGGCTGGGCCGAGGGCAGATGTGGTCATGTCCTGAGATCCTAAGGCACAGAGCTTTGACCCAGGCTTCCCTGCCACCAGGCCAGGGAGCTACCCATCCCCACAGCACACACAGGGAAGAGGACCCTAGAGCAGCCGGCATGCAGGGCAGGGGGCTGGAGAAGGTCAGGTCCTAGATAGGGGCTTTTTCTCCAACTGCCCTGCCTACCTCCTCAGCAACCAGGAGCCCACATTGGATCAGACGGTCCAGCACCTCCTGACAGTAGCAATAGGAAGACTGACAGGGCTAGGGAGAAAGAGGCACCAGTGTGCCCTCAGGAGAGCCAGGCACACAGGCGGAGGCCTGGCCATAGGCAGGGCAAGGCCAGACGTACCACCTCCTGGCACCAAGAGAACAAGGAAGATCCTGGGCCATGTGGGCTGTGGGGGAGGCCTGACCTGCAGCAGCAGCAGGTCCTGTGGCAGCAAATGTAGCAGCAGCAGGATCTGGCGGTACAGCTCATTCTGGCTCAGGAGCTCTACGCCCTGCAGCTCCCAGGGCCCCTCGGGTGGCACTCTGCCTGCCAGCAGCGCCCGCACAGCACAGGCTAGGGTCAAAGGGAGTTGAGCATGAGAAAAGAGCTATTCCACTTGCCCCTATGCACACATCCCACCCAACCTGAGCCCTTGGGACTCACCACCCACAGCCTCGCTTAGGAAGGCAGGCAGCAGCTCAGCACTCAGGCGTGCCAAGTGTGTGATGCCTGGGCCAGGCCGTGGCACCACCAACAAGTCCCCTTGGTGGACACGCAGCAAGGCCACATGTGCTCGCAGCAGGATCAGCGTGTGTTGCACCAGACACCGCAGCTGTCCTGAGAAGCCCACATCAAAGCCACGTAGCAGAGTTTCCTCTGTCAGCCAGGAGAACTCCCCCAAGAGTCTCGACAAGAACACGCCCTGGGTGGACAGAGCAAAGCTGAGCAGGAGGGCAGCAACCCCTCCCCCAGGTCCCCACCACACCATGTCCTACCTTCTGGTGTTTGAACAGCAGCAGTGTTGCCATGATGGCTGTGCTCATCACCGCTGAGCTTGCCACGCTGGCTGGAGTGTGAGTTGGGGGGGTGCTAGTCAGGGGTTGAGGCCCAGCAAACAGGTCCCTCCACCATCTGGTAAGTCTTCCCAACCACAAAGCCCCAACTCCACCCCAGGGAGGGAGAAAGCAGCCCCAGAAAAGTGGAATTTATCACATACATGCTGAGAGCCGGGCCACAAGCTTGGGGACCTTCCTTGGATCTCTTAGAACCTACCAACAAACCCACAGCCTCCACCACAAGAGGGGAGATACTGAGAATCCTATAAGCCCTCTCTAAAGCACTCTTAAGCCCCTCGCATGCATGACTCCATTTGGTTAACAGCATCCCCACTCTCCGCTATGGAGTGGGAGAGCCTGGACTCAGTGCACCCACTTAGCTGTTCCTTCACGCCTTCCCTGGCTGCCCTGCTCCTCAGAGTTCCATACTTCTTCACATGTCCCAAGTGTGCCACAGAAGGAGAGTGGCTTAGGTCATATACCCACTTGGAAGGGAGGGTCCTGAAGACTTGATGACCCAAAGAGACAGGGACAGTTCAGGGACCCACCCTAAAAGGCCCAGATCTAGTTCCCCCTCACCGTTCAGGATGTGACGGCTCAGTCTCCTGACCAGGAGCTGGTCCTCTTCCCTGAGGGCCAGAAGGGGCCCAGTTACAGGGGTCCACTCCTGCTCCTTCTCAGTGTCTGGGACAGCAGTACTAGGAATAGAGACACAGATCACACGATGAAGGGACCAATCCTAAAAACAGTTGTGGGGAAGCCCAGGGCTTTCTCAAAGGTGTTTCCCCAATCCCAGGCCTGGGTCAGGGGATGGCTCCCTTCCAGGCCCAGGTACCATACCCCACACTCAGACTACTGGTTAAATGAGCACCTGCTACTGCTCTAGATGACCCAAGGATATTTGGTGAGGGAAGGCTGCTAATGTGTTTGTGACTACTGGGAGAAGCATCAGGCACACAAGCTGGTGCTGAAGGGCTACCTACCTTGCCTGAGACCCGCACATGCCCTGTGCCTACCACTGGCCTAGAACGATGGGTTGCAGCAACTGCTCCAGGGTCTGCCTGCTGCCCCAGCAACTCCTGGCATTGATGGTGTATTCCTGCCCAGGACAAGCCTCTTAGGTGGCCTGCGCTGGTCCACCAGAAAACTTGCACATAACACATATAAGGTAGGCAAGACAATCCCTGCAATGGCTTTGAGGGTCAGGCTGCTAGAATCCCAAGACAGACCCCCATGTACGCCCAGCTGGCTCCATACCTGCAGGGAGAAGGGCTGGGCTAGGTGCACTCGGACACAGACCCGGGGACTGCAGCCCCAACAGCTGCGCAGGCTCCGCAGGACAGCCAGAGCTCCCGTCCATAGCCCCAGGGGAACTGAGGCCTGTAAGGGGAGAGAGACTGAGTGCACCAGCTCACCAGCGGCACTGTTCTCAGGCAGGCATCAGAGCTGGCTGCCCCATCCTGTTCTCCACAGCTTTTCTTTGGTCCCAGCCCGCTCAACTTTATCTCAGGGCCAATAGGATACATGACCTGGTCCACACTAAGATCCTGTTTTCTCATCCATGAAAGAAGAAAGAAATCCCTCTGTAGCATGGTCTTTTTTTTTTGGCTGGGGCTGGGTTTGAACCCACCACCTCCAGCATATGGGGCCAGCGCCCTACTCCTTTGAGCCACAGGCGCTGTCCAGTAGCATGGTCTTTTGAGGATGACATAAGATGATAATGGTAACAGCCTTGACAAATGCCACAGGACAAGGGTAGAGAGCATTCCTTTGTACCACCCCTGCCCCCAGCCCTAAGGGGGACTCAGCCATAGGACATAATATTGTGCGTCATTTTTGGAGCTGGTATCCAACTGGGGTCCCAGGGAACAGAAGGGTCTCTCACATGATATATTTCATGTGGTGCATCTGGGACCAGGTCATAGGTTATAGCCACTGGCACCAGCATAGCATCTGGGACAATGCCCCCCTGGACCGCCTGTACCACTAGTCCCAGCCAGGCCTGGCCCAGGGCTGATAGCCGTGGCCCCTGGACCCCAGGGGACTCCTCCAAGAAGATGAGCAGGGGCTGCCCACTGATGAGCAGCTGTTCCATGACCTAGAATTGGAGGAGGTAGATGTCAAGGCCAGAGCAGAACAGACTCCTGAACCCTTTGCCTGGGCCCATACACACCACTGGGGGCACTTACTGCATAGGTCACAGTCCTTGCAAGGACCCCCTCAGAGCTGTCTAGGGAGAGGTTGGCCTCTGGGGGCATGAAAAGTCCTCCAAGCTTCCTCAGCAGAGCTCTATGGGGCACGGGGCCTGATTAGGGAAGGGGCTCTGGAAAAAAACTGGTCTGGGGGCTAGTGAGAGCCTTGCCCTCCGCCCCCCCCCCCCCCCCCCGCCAAGGACGAGCCTGTGTTTCACCTGGATACCCTGAAGCCAGTCATGGCCCTGGGACCTGTGGCAGACCGTCTGAGCCCCCAAGGCTGGGTTGGCATATGGCCAGGAGTAGAGAGGTAAGGAAGAGGGCCTTTGGGAAGCTGCTGTCAGCACACCCCCATCCACACCCCTGCCCCAGCCTGAGACTCCTCCCATGTATATCTAGGGGCACAAAACTTTACCTGAGGGCAGGGGAGCAGGCATGGGGATCCCAAGCCACACGGAGCACACCTAGGCCCTGGGACAGCAGCACGAAGGGCAGCAGGAGCCCATCCAGTAGGGACTTGTGAGTAGAGAGGAGGACGAGAGGCAAGCCCTGCTCCGGGGAGAGCCAGAGGGAAGTGCCAATCTGCCCCGACCCTGAAGCCACAGGAAGCCAAAACCCAGCACCTCCAGACCCAGGGCACCCATGGAGGAAAGGGAGAGGTGAAGGTTCGGCTGAAGAGTCCTCCCTCTGAGCACATTTCCCAAAAGTAGAGGAG